ATATATATTTACAGTAAAAACAGAGACAGGTTTATAAAATAACAATGATGTCCATTACAGGGAGAAAGTATTGAACATTCATTTTCGCTTATGATACTACACTCAATACATTAAACCAGCATACTTGGATTTTGAAAATTGTTGGAGGCTGGTCGAACCTTTACCACTTAGACTGAAATTTAACTAGTCAGATATAACTCCGCAATTTAGTCGGTAAAATAGGCGGGGGAATGGAAGCTCGGCACACTGAATCACCTAACATGAAGTCCACTGTATCACGAATAAAAAGCGACTGCTGATCAAAAGGTCTGTGATTCTTTCTGTTTACCAAATTAGCGCAGGTTGTGTTTGTTCCTTGTAAAGCTTCTCGATCAGCTGCTGTAGTGATTCAGGCAAAATTTTAGACTCGAATCGGCGACTGTAGCCTTCGTCGTCGATGAATAAATGAACAAAAGTGTTGCCTACATCCCCGAAATAAATGTTGCTCATCGAAAGATACGGGAAACTGTCCCTCCCCGCAGCGAAGGTCGTATTAAAACCGTCCAGAACATAATCGACCATCGTCGATATCATTAAGTATATGATCATTTCTACCAGCGCAATCCCACAGCTCATGTGACGCACAAATGTGCTTTTTATTCGTAAACTTTGCGATAAACTTCGTAATGTCCGTGACATCACTCGCCTTTAAAACCAAAGGAAGATCGCCATATTTGTACTCGAGATCCTGCGCACACGCAGCAACTTCGGACAGCTCAAATTCAATTTCAAAGAGGAACCGGAGGTGGTTGCCTAAGCTAACACGCAGTCCAGACATGTGCTGCGGCCAGTGTTGAGTTGGTACATCGTATAAATATTAGCTTTTTTTTGAATTAACTACGCAGATATGTCGTGGCCCAGTCACAACAGTGCGAAAACACAAGACGTGCTTGAATTAAGCTAACAAGAAAAAGCAAACATAGGTGCATCGCAACGTACATATGCTATGTAGCAGAGCTACACAGCATCTTAAGTCAGAGGAAGACTTGGTGCCTAAATGTCGATACTAGCATAAAAGAACTAGACTATATGAGTCAACAAATGTGGTTCTTGAGGTCTCTTTTCCAGGGGAGTTATCGATTTAGGAAATTTACAGCACTTAGTGCTCAATAGTAGCTTTCTTAGGGAGTTGTTGCTAACCTTGAACGATATACGATTAGCTAAGCCTAGAAAATTACGTGTCTTAGACAAGATCAAAGGGGAGCTGAACTTTGCTTACGCTTAGTCAATATAATATCTTAATCCTCATAATACATAATTTAGGCAATCATGCCCTGAAATTATATCTTCAAGATCTTTCCTATCTTGTGGCTGACACCCATCTACCCCTACAGACCGATAAGATATTCTATATCTCTTTTTGTGGGATAACATCCCGCGTGACTAAGACGGAGGGTAACGAGACTTTACGATGTGTAATCACTTTAAACCCTCCCCCACCAGACTGACGTTTACCCACATTTCAACTTAACTTTGTTCCTAAATGAAATCAGTGCGCTTGCGTTAAACTCAAGGTAAAGCAAAGGTTTAGCACCATGTCCTCATATTGTAGCGAGTCAAAGACTTATTGAACATACCTCAAGATGGAGGAGGCAGTGTACGAAGGTAGCAATACCTGTGTCCCGGATGATTAAAGGACGGTCTCCGATATACCCATGCCTGAGATAAAAACTTCTACGGACTCAAGTCCGACCTCTGAACGTAATGATACGAATGCGCCACTGGAGCCGCATTCAACACCCGGCTCGGATGATGCTATCATAATCAACCCGCTAGATGAGCGGCAATATTTGACTAATCAACGAGTAGAAAGCGCTCGGCTCCATGCACTAATGGCCACGACCCTTGAGAACCAGAGTGAAGATTGGTTCGCTCGACTTAGTTCATAGGAAAGCATAACTTCAACGACTGGCCAAATATTGGCAACGGGGACCAGTGGTCCTGTAGCTGCTTCTTCCGAGGAAGGATAAAATGGAGAGGCACTTCGTGAGAGGTATCCGGAGCCATATCTGACATCAAAAGTCAGTAAAAGGAATGCCTTGACATGCAAGCACGTGGTACACCGGTTCCACCAATTAAGAGTATACTCATTCTCCTGGTCACAAGCAAAACAACGGACGAACAAGTTAGCAAATATATTCGCTAGGTGCATTGTACTATTCACCTCAGCAGTATGTACGCTCTAAGATCTAGTGTCAATGTTACAGATGAGCATCTTGAACGCAAGCTTCAGCATTATTATGCCAAGCTTAATGCCAGAGGCCTATTGCGCAATAACACGCGTTTTATTTCGGTTGATACAGTAGCCGCGAGCTCTGGTCGAACGGTAACTACGATCCCGCCAACCCTCACCACTAGTGGTGGGAAAAATCCTCAGTCTCGGTATGACATTGAACACGATGTTCAAATACATACACGTCGAATGGGCAATCTTGCCGAAGGGGTATCTCATACCATCATGAGTGTTTTGACTCACGATTTCCTAGCCACTTCACCATATATTAGTTTTGGCCATAAAGACGAAGTCGTTTCAGTTTTTCTCTCAACATCAAGCTGTCAATCCTCGTGCTCATAGAGCAGCGTCAGGAACGGCCAGTGCACCGATTTCGGACCTCAAGAAAATTGGTTCTCGAATTGAAGAATGTCCAAGAGACCATGGATAAGACCCAATGCATGCTGGATGCGATACAAAGCTGTCTTCAGTAGACGGAGATTGCTAAAATCTGAAGCGAGACTCATTTGGACTTGCTAATTTGCTTACGAAAATCCGGGGACAGCTCTCTTTGTCGGTGCAAGCGCCTCCAAGTTTACTTGGGAAAGAACCCGGTATGGCTCAAGTAAGCCTACGTAGTACGCTGGGTTTGTGCGCAATTTGCGTGGAAGGTCGAGCTTGTACGCAAGCCCATTCTCAGAAACGACCGTGAATGGTCCAACGAAGCACGGACGAAACTTTGCCTTGAGATAGCGGACACTAAATTTGTAGGTAGGTTTTTGTTATTGAGTAATACTTGGTCTCCGACCTGATAAAGTTCATACAACATCTTTTTCTAGCGTCTGCTTGTGTTTTGTTGGTCTTGGCTTTCAGCCATTGCGTCACACACAGATTGTAAGATTTTCAATCGCTTGCATGAAACTAGCTCACCTGTTTCTAAACAGAAGCACGGCTGACATCAGCGAGACGATCGTCTATCTCTCCCCCGCCAAGTCCATGCAACACATAGCGGTAGCATTAACGGAATGCGTGGGTGAGAGAGTCCATTCACGTAAAATAGAGTAAAGCCAGTAGTGGCATGAATGCGTTGTTTAACGCAAACTCAACCACAGGGAGCATAGAGCTTCAACGCCTTGGCGTACAAGCGCAATTACTGTGCAAAATATCACCAATGACGCGATGTTACGCTCAGTTTTACCACCGGTCTGCGGATGATCCGCTGTGGACATGTCTAACCTGGTGCCCATCACATTGAAGATGGACTTCTATACTTCCCAGTGAAACGTGGATCATGATCAGAGACAATTGCTACAGGCAAACCGTATTGGCGACAATTAAGTTCGATGAACAGCTTTTCTGTACCATCACCATCGATGAAATCAGATACAACCGCTAGATGAGCCATCTTGCTTAATCGGTCAACACTGACCACAATACCAGTGTTGTCTTCCGAACCCTTCGGTAGGCCAAACACAAAGTCCATACTCATGAACTCCCAACACCCAGTAGGTACAGGTAGACTAGCCAGCGGCGCCGTCCCATGTGCTGAGGGTTTGACTCGCTGACACGTTTCACATGTACGCACATAGGTGCTCATCTACTTGTATAGTTTGGGCTACCGATACGTCTGGCTCACTGAGCTATATGTCTTCACATGATCGAGATGACCACATAAAGCAGTGTCATGGACCTTAAAGAGGATACAATACTTCAACTCCTCGTCATGAGGGACAGCGAAACGAGGCTTTTCCTCATTATTTGTGCGATAGCACAACAGGCCTTTGTCGATGACATATCGATGTATCCTCGCACGTAAACGTACCGACAATACTGTGTTCGAGTCTTAGTTCGCTTCGCTCCCAAGAGCCCGTCGCAAAGCTACACATTGTTCATCCTTGACATAAGCCGCACAAATTAGGTCAGTGACTGACGATGACAGCGTAGTGATGTGAGTAAGATTATAGTCAGGTCGGCGTGATAGCGTATCAGCCAACACAATTTGTTTTTCTGGCCCCTACTTCGCTTAATATTTACGTTCGACTAAAAATGAAAGCTAACGAGCCATCCTCTGGTAGAGATGCAGCGACTGTGTTACAGTGCGCAATGACGCATGATTGGTATAGATCACAAATGGCTTTGAGCCAAGCCAATGTGCTTTCTATTCGACCTATAGTAATGGTATTTTGCGCTTGTGTGCGAATGCTTTTCGATTGGTAGTAGGCTTCAGTATCGGCTTCGGCTGCTATGCATTTTTAAAAAGCCATCACAGAAATCATACTTATTGCGTCTCCATCACGATATTAGCGCTGGCGACGCCTTCTCCGACTGGTGCATGCTAAGATGACCTATGTTAGACAGAACATACTTATCACGGGTGGTCAACCTGCTTAAATCGGCAGTTTTTGTCGTGTAAGCTAGACTTGTGGTTAGTCAATTTGGTGAGCGAGCCATTGTGGTGATGAGGGTGTCGTCATTGGTTTTGTAAGCAACGTAAGGGATGATACAACAAGCGCATGTCGTCTGTGTTGGGCATGCGTGCGAAGAGAAGTGTCATGCGGAAAAGATAGTGGCGATCGGCATTCAAGTTTGACTGGTAATAACAAGTACCCAGTCTACCACTGCATTATCTCCGGTCGTCTACTCCGACATTCTCACTCTCAACATCGATAGTCTTATACGACGCACTACGCTCAAACAATATTGTTCAAGTCTGTTGTGACAACTGCAAACGGAAAAAGCTATCGGAATTCTACGTAGAGAGTGTGGTTCCAGCTCTCGTCGTATTGCCGTCGTACGCATCGTCGGTCCCCAGAAATTCTGTCAGATAGTCGGCCGGTATCGTCAGATTCAGTGCTGGCATCTCGTCTACACACGACTTGTCAAGACTGTCAAGGTTCCCACCATTCTTGACGTACGACGCCAACAACTTCATTCCGCATGGTCCCATGTACTTGCCTCCTTTGAAGTACGGAGTTGACATGATGGTACCGTGAGTAGCATACTCGAACGCAATGAGCTCTTTGTTTGAACCAACAAGCCCTTCGAACAGAGCCTCTGCGTACTTATGAGGCGTCTGAGCATCTAATTTGCCACTAAGTAGCAAAACACTTGCATGGTTTGGAATGACTGACGTTGAGTTCCAGTGTTGATCGGGCTTGTAAATAATGGCAGTTGAGCTATTCTTGCCCAGTTGAAGCTCATCGCAAGTCAGAGACTTCTTCTTGGAAAAAGCACATTACAACCGATTTGTCTTGTCCAGCCCGACACCTCCATTCATCGTCGCATGTGCTGATCGTTCCTCCAGCACTGCAAACGACGGTGCAGGCTTTTCGTATACTTCAGAGAAGTTAATCAGATTGTACAGAAGCACAGAAACGTACGCCAAGCCTTGGGGTTCGGTCTCGACTTGTGGCTCGGTACTTGAAAAGATTGGCTTCAAAACGGTGACATCTCCTTCCTCGCAGAGATTCAGTCGGTAGACAAGTGGCGGAATGAACGCCCGCATCGTTGAATCAAGTAACGCCGAGCCTAGAGTAGCACGAAGCGAAAGTGACGGTGGATCAAAGGCCCCTTGTACGCTTACCAGCTGAGCGCAGGTCGAGTTGGGCTCCTTGTCGAATTTCTCGAAAAGCTGCTGTAGTAAATCAGGCAAACTTGTTGATTTGAAGTGACGACTACAGTCTTCGTCGTTGGCGCACAGGTCGAGGAAAGTGTCGGCCACCTCTCCGAAGTCACGGTCGTTCATCGAAATGAACGGGAACTTGTCCTTTGCTGCGGCAGAAGTCGTGGCGACGCCGTCCAGGACATAGCCTGTCACCGTCGGAGCCTTCAAATGCATGAGCCGTTCCACTAGCGTACTTCCATAGCTAACACCGCAGACTGTGGTGTTTTGTCCGTTCGTGGACTCGGTGATGAACGTTGCAATGTCCGTGGCGGCACTCGTGATAGAAAATGACGACAGGTCACCGAATTTATGCTGGAGGTCCTGCGCACACTCATCGACCTCGGACGGATCGATTTCACCGCCGAGAAGAGAGTCGTCGGTCGTAGCTGACACACAGTCCAGAAGTGTGCTGCGTCCCGTGCCGCGGTGGTCCATTGTGTACAAATTAGCCCTTCCCTCGAGTTCACCTCACCATGCATAGGGATCATGATCTGTTCCACTACATTCGAAGGGGTCCAAGGACAAATACGACGTCAGGCGATGAGAAATTGGCGAAACCAGGTTCAAAACAGCGTACTTGAGCTCGATGAAAAGCCAGGACCACCTGCGACAAACCACACGTTCGACGCAGTTGCAGGGTCTCCGGACGTCGCTGGGTACCTCTTGACAAAGATATCGACAGTCGGTTCCACCGATGGCAGAGCCTCACAGATACCAGGATAGCACAAGGGTGCCTTGTATATCAGGCACTCAGCGATGATGCCACTTGAGGGTCCCTGGTCAGAAAACGTTTTGTCAGGACACGAGTACCAGCCAGTGCGGTCGGATTTCTTGGCGAACGCGACAGTAACTGGCAGGGACAGACATGCCACTGAAAGTGCAGCGATGCGGTGCATAAGCATTTCGACAGAGTGGTGGGCACCGACTGAAATGGCGAATGACTGTGACTGTGATTCACGCAGGAGGCACAGGAAGCAAGATGAGGAGGAATTCGTTGCTACGACTGGCTACAGATTGTATCGCTTGATTGCCATGAATTGGGAACCAAATGTATGCACTTCGTTCGATTGCGACGATAGTCTCTGCTGTGGGAGGCGTGTCGCGCCGCTACTCCTTTATCTCGTGATGCGTTTCGAGTGCTCGTGAGATGGAATTTTCCTGACTGTCTTTTCAAACAATTTGCTCGATACCTGGAAACCATGATCCATGCTCCACAATGAGACACCTGTCTTGGCGGGCCTCTGGGGAGCACCGACGCAGGGCGTAAGGTGGAATGAAACCACGAGTCTATCTTTGAACCCCTCATAGCCCATGTGCCCTGTGCAGCAGCAGGGAAGGTTTCTAGAGTGGGTAGCTTTTAGAAGGTAGCGACCGTAAGGGAGTTTACGTTCCGTTTGTGCGCATTTTCGATTCACACAGCGCAAAGCGTGAGGACGTCGCCATTTGTGGTGGCGGTTCTGGCGTTTGTTGCATCATTGCGACTTTATCCTCGCGATCTGTTTCGAGTGTTCGTAACACGGTACCTGGTACTAAGGAGGACCTGATGATGACTGGTAATCAACATTTTGGAAAAAACATCTACGCCAAGTTGCGGAGGTCAGTCAGTCTCTTAAATTTTAATAATGCGCTGTAAGGGTTGCTGCCAGACTGTCAATGTGTTGGTTTTTACGAAAATGAATTGTTGTGTTATCTGTTTGCTGCTGTGTTTCGATGCAGCTAGAGGGCTCTAACTGAGAGCGTTCTGAATATGCAGTTGATGGCTGTGGCTCGTCAGTGTGAATGCTTGCGCAATCGTTAGCTCATGCGTCCCGGGACCGGACTCAACTGATGATGGCGAATTGTCTGGTTTGTGTGCGTGCAGATCATTACATTCACTAAACAGCACGTGGCAACTCGGCACTTGTGGAAAAGATTACAGGTGATTGTTGCCAGCCAAGACCATTCTACACCGAATGCTGCAAAAGGTCAGTGAATGACCACAAATTCAACAGAGCCTGTGCAATTGCAGTCTAAGTCGACATGACGTGGAGAAAGGAGCTGTAGCGTGTCGACATTAATGCAGCGCGCCCATGTGCTCCTTGCTTCTTTTGTGTGAAAGCTGACGTAACATATTGCATCTACTCAGCGCATTCATCAGCGCCGACACGATTAGAATCCAGTTGCCACAGACATAGTGCTCAAGACATCTGACACTTCGGAACTGCTGTGTGTTCTTGGTATGTCGATTAAAACGCATGCTATTGAGCGCTGGAAATCCGTTGATATTCTCGTTGCCCACTCTTTTCGCTCACAAAAACACTTGAATAGTCCGAAAAGGAATGCGATTAGGCTACACCACAAAAAAGTAGGGCCAAAAGAGAATGAGATGAAGATTATAAAATCTCGTAAACATCGACCAAACTTCCCTTTCGTCTATCGACTTCAGTTTAGCCTTCCCAGGATCGAACGTAAGCCTATATACTGGAGTACGCGCGAATCTTCTGACTGTGAAGCTGTTTAAAGAGTACCTAAGTTTGTACAGACATCTGTCAATAATGATGCAAAATGGCCGCCATAACGAGCCATATTTACAGTAGTTCTCAGGGTGCACAAGAGTCGGTGTACGGCAGTCCCGACGGATGACGCGATCACTATGACGATCAAGCGTCGACTTTAAAAATATTGTAAATGCCCTAGTTGGTAGCAAATGATCGAGTACCTCTGTATGGATCACCCATCGTGTAATGATTGATATGATAAAAACAAGACCTAGGAATTTTTTCTCATAGATTTATCGTTGCAATTTTGATGCAAGTTCAACACGCGTACGTACATGCATGACGACACACGGCCGTGATTTCTGTCCTTTCTATGATACCAGCTCTTTTTGGCCCGACTTCTTCTTCACAGTGGAGAATATTTTTGAGGAGACATCACCAAGTATGATTATACGATCTGCAAACACGACACGAGTCCAAACGGTTCAGCATTATACATAGTCGATTCTCGGCAATTATTGCTAGTCTTTGTGCTTGACTGCTGTACTTGGCTAGCAAAAAGATTGCCGGCCAACGATATCGCTACATGATGGTAAGACGCGTGAGGTGTGGTGTGTATCTGTATTGATACGTGATACTCGCTCAACAATCTTTCGAGAGATTGTTCGCAAGTCGTTAATGAGAGTTGTGAAATAAAGGGGATGTTAAACAGCAATTATGTTCGAGCATACTGTAGCAGACAAAGCAAGTACATATTCTGGGGTTGCTGATCGTCTTTTCTACCCAAAATGAGCCTTTGCAAATTGTGTCTCTATTTTAAGAGGCAAGAATTGACCCAATCAGGGCTCCTTCCCACAGCGTCCCATCCTCTTTTGAAAAAGATGCGCATATGGACATGGGAAGGAATTTTGACTATACCGCGCGTCCCGCACATTCTGCTGTTCCAAATAATTTTCTGCTACATGCAAGGTCAACTTTCTATCCCTTCTTCACCCATATCATAATCACGAGAATTTGGAGAATATTGCATGTAGGAGTCATCTTGTTAATTATTGTCAGGTCCATTGATTCATTAAATGACACTTTGGTTATTCTGCCGAGGCTTGCTTTAAGGCACTTGAAGATGAGATAATTGTCCTTGAGGACGACCAATCGACATTCCGAATTCATTAAGACCTCGCAGCTTTCATTTGTGTAATGACACTTTATGTTAGTTATTCAGTTAGTAGGCTTTTGTACTCAACCTGTTGCACTTACAGCTAAACCTACTGTCAATTCTAATACATTCTTTTAATTGCTATCCTTTTTTTGTGCAATTGCGTAGCTTATAACCTCCATGGCCATGGTTTGAGAAGTGTCCACTCGCTCAAATTCAACTACGTTGATGTTGATGGTGTGGTCAATCTTCGACGTTTCCAATGCTTGTAAGAAGATCCTTGCTTGCACAAGTACGCCATCAGCGGCACCGATTAAAAACTAGGGGAATAGGCATTTAGTTTGTACTTGCTGTTGAAGGTACTGATTTTCATATTACGATTTGTTTAACCTCTTGCTATTGTTCGCATATTTTTCCGTCATCAGCGCATATGCAGACGCCCATGCGCATGCATATCTGTTCGCTGCAAAACATATGTGGGGTATTGTGTAATGACATCGTCCCGTAGTATACCACAGGATAGGCCGATCTTGCCCTATCGATTGCGAGACGGAGCTATATCTTAGACTAAACATCAATAGAGGTTACAACAATTTTTTCACCAGCTCCATCTACACCTTTTCACGGAAAGAATATCGAGGTTAATCTACTTTGTTAGACTAAACAGATGCGATGGACGCGTTAGGCGAGGATGAAGCGTTTGCGAAGAAAAAAAAGCTGTTTTTTGTTTACAAGCAACACATCGTAAAAAAATTCTGAGCGCAGTCCTGGATACACCTTCTTGGTCTCTTGGCTCATGCTTCATTTATCAGATGTTAAGATGGAGGCGTACTTTAAAGTGTTTAGTTAAACTGTTTACACTTCGGGTGATTAAAGATAAGTCCCTGTCCGCAAAAATCCCTAGTATTGTCTAAATCCATGTATCTTTCTTACTAACTGATTTTTTCGGGTTTTTTTGTGGTTAAGGTGACGTATGTCCCTTCCGTACGGACTACCTCATTTCTGTAGAGTGACATTGTCCTCAAAACAGTGTGTCTTGATCAATGTATGCAAATGAATGAATGTACATTCTATCTGAATCGACGGATAGTCTTCCCTGTCTTGCGTGTTTGTGGTTCTTACATCAAATCATGTCCAGATAATCTACCTGAAAGATTATTTTACACATTGGCCAGTAGCGCATCATTTAGGTTTCGATGAAGAAAAAAAACTCCCTGAGTCCACAATACCCTTTCCACAAAGAAGGGCTGGTTCGACAGTAGTACGCACTAAGGGTCCTTCCTGCGTCATACCACCCTTCGCGTCCCGCACATCCTACATTCATTAATTATGTGATTTTAATCATCGAGATTATAAAACTTGTCTATTTTTATATCTATCCTGGGTATCAGGAGAATGTTAAAAAACTTTGATCTTTTACACGAATCCAGAAGCAGGTTCACAATTCGTGTATTTCTTTAGTTATCATCACACCTACTTTTTGCTGTCCACTACCTCTTAAACTAGTGATTGTAAAGTGCCTACGAGTAACGGGTGAACAAGACAGAGGAGCAAGCTCTGGGGCTCTCTCTTTGATATGACCTTTTCAGTCCAGAGAACTAAATCAGGTTCTGTAAATTCACTTACACATTCCGGGTGGTCGGCGGCTACGAAATAGCTTGTGCGATAGATAAGAACATGGTAAAACTCTGTTGTATTGTTGAGTGTACACGCGTCCATTTGATTCTATTGATATCTTGCCAATATAAGGTTCAAAAAATAGGAGGAAGACGATTTCTTCCGTTTATGCTGTCAACAGCACAGTGCGGCCAACGACAACTAATCGAGATCAAGGACAAATATTTTTTTTTGAAAAGCATCTTTTGCCAACAAAATCAACAGGTAACCCTATTACCTGGCTTTTAACGTATTCAGTACTACGGATATGAGCCACGTAACATCTCATTTTATACTAGATGTTCTAGGCTTCCGCTGCCCCACAAGGTAAGCCATATTCTTCTTTCCCTTGATTACTTTTATGCCCCTCACTTGAGAGCGTTGTTGCGTGTCTGACTCACAATTTCTACTAAATCGCAATTTGTGGGATGATTGAACAGTGACAACTGTAGATCGTTTCTATATTCAAAAGATGACAGGCTACACCAAACTTAGAATGCCCAGTAGGGTACACCTAGAGATATCAGCCGGCACACATTCAGAAGGTTGAACTAAGATAAAGTTCGGCGTGCACCATACACACAGTCACCATTAGCTTTTACCGCTCGTTATT